AACCAGCTGGCACATCCCCTAGACAAACAGAAAGCTCATGAGATCAGCTGGTTTGCAACCCTGACTCACCAGATGGTTTAAGTGGTTTGAATTCGATCCAGACCTAAAGCAACAGAAGGGGCTTTGGAAAAGGCAGAACGAGAGGCAAGTAGAGATTCACATTCTTTTCCCATTCAGTGGACCATATTGGGAGAATTAATCCTTCTGTTCTCCCATCTACAAGAAAGATTAAATCGTGTTGACAGTGCCATGGATATACAGGATAATTCATGAATAAACTGGAAAGTTATTTGCTATCAGCACAAGAAGTGCACATGGGCGAGGGAAGGGGGTTTCAAAGTGCTGCAAAACACCAATACTATTATACCAATGAGCCGACACCCTTCACTCTCCTATTATTGCTTGCTGTGCCCCAGCATAGTTCACTCAACTATACTCAGTCATATTTTGAAAGGCCTGGCTTTGATTTCCACGACGAAATTGTTCAGAGACAGGAAAAGCTGATTGGGCTCGCTGGGGCTTCTAGTCCAAACATGTAATTTTCCCAAGCTTTGGAAATTCAACAACGTTCAGTACAGAGCCAAAGAAAAAGTCCAGCAAATAGCAATCCAACAGTGGCCCAAAGCTGTCTTTGTTCCAGAGTGCTATCCATGCCAGTGAGCTCACTGGAGGAAAAATCACTACAGGTCCGGGAATTTTGCTCCAGTGCAGAAGAAAAGTGGCAAACATAGGACCAACAATGTATGGGGCTCCATGCTTTGGTGGTGACATCTGAGCCAAACAGATGGATTATATCCAAAAGAAAACATCAAGATGCCACAAATAGAGTATATATTTTAATTGCATTTTAATTGTTTTGCCTTTTTATTGTATTTTAAATGTTGTAAGCCGCCCGGAGACCTTCGGGTAGTGTGGGCGGCATATAAGTTGAATGAATGAATGAATGAATGAATGAATGAATGAATGAATGAATGAAAAGTCTTCATGTTTAGTTTAAAGAGGTAAGATTATCCTTAAAATGATGCTGCACAGGAGAGCCAGAGTAGAGTAATTGATAACATGTTGAAGTAGGACTCGGGGGACATGCTTTAAATCCTGGTTGGGCCATGGTAAATCACTAATTAAGCATTTCCCATATCTTGAAAATGTAATTAGAGGTGCTGTAAGTTGGGAGTCACTTAATGGCACATAATAATAACAAATGAGGCATGGGCATTTGAGCAAGGAAAGGGAGATGCCCTTCAACTTTGGGCAGCTATTACAGTCCATAATAACTTAAGATGATTTTCAAAAAAAAATATCCATCCATGCTATAGCAGCAGAAAAATAACAGCATTTAGTGGACTCCAGCCTGCTTCGGCCAAGGCCTCTCTGATGAAGTGGACTGCATGCAGCGCATGACAGCTGACACCCGATAAATCCTGTTTGCCACACGACTCTTTGGTGTTTTTATGGTGATGACTTTGCATGTCAACCTCCACCCCCCGGGAATTCACATAACAAAGAATTTTTATTAGCAACAGTGTTCGGAGATGGAAGGAAAGAGAAACTCCAGCCTTGAAAGTGCCAGCGCATAGTGGGAGTTCCGGTTCTCTCCAAAGGCTTGGCAGCTTCTGAGACAGTCCTGACAACGTGCAAGCTCATGGGACGGAGAGTTGTGAAGGCTTCCTCCCTGACTCCTGGAGCCCTGGAATAAGCACACCAAAGACAGCTTGGCTCAGCAGGAAGAGGAAATCAGCTCCCTTTCCACACAGGGTGAGTTAAAAGGTGCTGGGAAGGAGGAGTTCTACGTTGGCCAAGAGAAATAAAGAAATCCCTTCTACACAAGAATGCGTCTTCAAAAGATGATCTGCAGGACTTGTGTGTGTGTGTGTGTGTGTGTGCGCAAAAGGACCAAGATGGAAAGAGGGGTCATTGAACCATTGTTTATGACTGGAGTAGGGTGGCATGCGCTGCCTCCCTCAGGCCAGCAACTCCCACACAGGAGCGAGATGTGATAAGAAGCAGGCACAATAAAGATGTCATCCATATAAATAACCAATAAATCGATGATGATTAAGAAACTGGAATGGATTGTGTCCATATTCTTGTGGCTAACATGGTATGGGAAGACATACTGAGTAAGGATATTGGAGATTTCTGCTTCTGTGTCTAAAATATAGTTCCCCTGAGGGGCACCCTAGTGTGGTCCAGAAACCAGGTATATCTGTGTGGGAGAGGGAGAGAGATAGATGGGAGTCAATCTCCCATGCGATGTGGGAAGATGTTATGAAAACCCACTGAGCGTGTGACAAAGGTCTATGGGACCAAGATTATGACTAGACATAACAATCACTGCTAAAAGGCTTGCCTCCTTTGCTATGGCTTAGTAACATGCAAGATGAGCGCATGGCAGTGCGCATCATCATCTTCAATGCCTATCTGGGCTACTGCTAAACAAGAGGCATAGTAGCTGCTCAAAAGGCAGTCCAATTAGCAAAAAAAGGCAGGGGTCATTGCAAATGTTACAATGTGCACATGGTCATATGGCCCCAAGACATACCACTTTAAGCGGAACATGTCGTTAGAGGAGTCTGTCTATTTAATACAAGGGTTATGCTAACCCTGCATCCTCTGTTATCTCTTTGCTCATGAAAAGGTGACAGGTTTGAAGAAGGGAGGTTCCTCTATTTTGTGAAGGATCTCTGTGCAAGGCCAAATAAGGGGGGAAACTGAGGTTCTGGCTCACACGAGGCGCTTTCGTGAGTAGAAAATTCCATTTTCAAGCCTAACGGTTCTCTGTGAGCAAAGCAACAATGGAGGGGCAGGGCTAGAGCACCTTCTCCTTGCTCCATGATGCCTAAGCACACTGCCCTGCATCTTCTGCTGTGCCTGTCTTGGTGGCACATCAAAAAGTCCTAAGCAAGGGCCAATTCCTGGTTTGAACACGCTCAAGGCAAAGCCCTCTCACTGTCCCCACGGCAAGAACAGATGGAATGGTTTCAGAGGACTCCTAGGAGAAACCGTTTGAGAGCAAGCAAGACAGCCTGTGTGCGGGGCTTTTTTATGATCAAAAGATCCTAGTCTTCAGGCTATTTGCGTAGAACCAGTCCTATCGGCTTCTGTTCATCCTACTCTAACATCAGAGTGTGCTTCAGATTGCTAAACCTGGAATGGTTTTACCCACATCAAGTTGACTCTTACGGCCACAGTGCAATGATGCCAATCCTGTCCCTACTTTAAACACCACATAAGATGCAAGAACAACCCCCCACTATGTTAGAGACACCCTTAAAAAAAGTTTCTATTGGGTTTTCAAAGCAGGTGTGCCTTTCCTACAGACTCCAACTATCAAATTCTCTTTTTTTGTAGCACCAAAAGCCTAGATACAGAGACAAATTCCTGCACAAAAGCACTCAAAATGTTAAAATATTAGCCAATAAGGATGATATGGGAGATTTCACCCCCTCTGAGCTATGCAGTCTCTTGTTTTTTTATGAGCAAGGCAAGTATGCACTCTGTGCTAAATATATCTCAGAAGTCTGGACAGTTTACATTTGGGGGTGTCATTCCAGATTTTAATAATGATTTTTTAAAAAAAATGTATTGCAACATTTTTATTGAAACATTGGGACAAGATGAGTTGGGAATGCATTTTTGAAAATAAAAATATACATTTGCAGATAGAAAACCTATGAAAGACAAAACTCTAGGATAAGAATCCTTTGTGATCTGAGAATATATTTACATAATTTCAGAAGACTGTATCTAATTTATTCTGCAGGGTTTGTTTTTTTGACATAATTTATTCTGGGTTTCCTAGTCACAGGGAGGAAGGAGCCTTGTAGACACAATTAAACATGACAACAGTCATGCAGTTTGCTCTTGTGTAATTGATTTACTCCAGTGAAAGTCAGACTAGAAGCAGGCAGAAAGGTGGGCTTTCCTTCTGCCTCACTGCAGCCCTGATCAGCATTCTAGCTCCCCATACATACTGGCTGCTTATATGAGACCTAAAACTCCCCTTGATATCAGTGGAAGCCTTTCTATCTGTGAACAGTAGGCATGGGGAGTAGCTCCCATTGAACCAGACATACTGTGCTGGATTACCATGCTGAATGGGAGATTCTGGGACCTGGAGCCTAAAATGATTCCCCCCCCCTAAGATCTGTCCTGTTCCTGCACCCCACAGCCCTAATCTAGTTCATTCTGCTTTCCATCAGTTGCTATTTATGTAGGAGACTTTCACAGCAGGAGTAGCAGGATAACAAAGTTCACACCTAGTTTGGCCACAAAAGCCACCACCCCTATGAAGAAAGGCAGAACCCTACAGGATGAAGAGGCAGCTCCATCGAGTCCTGCAACCCAGTTCTAGCAGGAACTGTTTCCCCAGGATGGCCCTTTACAGCCTTTGGACATGTGAGGCAGTTGTCCCATTAGCTCTCCAGATTCCGGCAGGAATTGCCCACAAACTTCCAATCCACCTTCATAAGGGCTAGAAACTTGCATGTTGAAGGAAGAGAAGGTGAGATTCTCAGGAAATGGAATACCGTGCCGGTTCCTTCTGGGGTGGCAGCATCTTATGCTAAATCCTTTTTGCTATGAGCCACTGCAGACTGCCAGTTAATTTTGGCCCTTGCTAATTGCAGCGCCACCACATCAGAGGCGACATGGTGGCGCTGCGGGTTAAACTGCAGAAGCCTCTGTGCTGTAGGGTTAGAAGATCAGCAGTCGTAAGATCAAATCCATGCAACGGAGTGAGCTCCCATCGCTTGTCCCAGCTCCTACCAACCTAGCCGTTCGAAAGCATGCAAAAATGTGAGTAGATACATAGGTACCACCTCAGTGGGAAGGTAACGGCGTTCCGTGTCTAGTCGTGCTGGCCACGTGACCACGGAAACTGTCTTCGGACAAAACGCTGGCTCTACGGCTTGGAAACAGGGATGAGCACCGCGCCCTAGAGTCGGACACGACTGGACTAAATCTCATGGGGAACCTTACTTGCAGGCAGACAGCTCTGGTTCAGGAGAAAACATTTTATTATAAAAAATGAGTATCTGATGCAGGTGAGGAGGGGGAAAATCACTCAATCCATAACAAAGGCATAGCCTGCCACCCTCATTTCTGCATATCATCAAGTTCCTGGCAAAGAAAGTGCCAACACGGGCACCATTTGGCACATGCCATTTCTCAGGATGTCTCTGGACTAGGAAATGGTCCTTCTTGCAATGGCTTCTTTTGGCTCCGACTCTCTGGAGTCCATCTTGGTTGCTGTCCATCAATCCTGCTTCTCTCTTTTGTGCTTCCAAGGGTAGATCAACTCGCCAACAAACAGCTTCTTGCACAAAGAGGCCCAGGAATCCTTGGGGTAACAGCTGTAAGTTGGGAGCCTGTACATTTGCACCACATGACCATAGGTCAGAGGGTTTATCTGGTGGCACAGAAGGAGTGAGTGTTAGACAGACAGAATTAACTCTAGTGGGTGCACAGAGATTTTTCGAGTCTTGTGCTTTACCCAGCAACGTCCACTCAAAGCGCTTCGCTTCCAACTACATGATGGTTCATTTCACCCTTTGGCAAAAAGAATACCCACTAACACAATAAAACAGAACAAACGGTACTCTACGTGGGGCGTCTGACTAGTTTTGGAAGAGGGAAGAGCAGCAACAAGGGTGTGGGACTCTTTAAGGATTAAGGAACTCACCAGAAATGATCATAGGAGGCATGTGAAGATGAAGCCCCCTGCACTTCATTGTTAAGCGTAGTCCATTGCAGACATGGCACAGTAAAATATAACTGTTCTGGCTCTGACCCAGGAAACCACTTACACCCAAGCTTAGCTCAGCATCTAAGCAGATCAAACTCTGTTCAAATTGGACAGGATCCAAAATAGGGCAGCCGACACCTTTATTAGGGGGCTACATAAGTGACTGGGGAAAAGAGCGATACAGTTTCGGAGAATAATGAAGAATAGCTCTCTGGAATTCACAGCAGGTTGGCAGAAACCTTGCTCCTAAGTGCTATTAGGACAATTTTTTAAAAAATCTCATATTTGCCAGTTTTAGGCATTATAACACCAATTAAAGGGTGGATGTGCTTATGCTGAATATTTCTCTGCAAACAAACAAAACATTTGAAAACAGATTCCTGCTGTTTTCATATTTGCTTTCAGCCCACTTCCTAAGCAGCTGAGATCCAAAGTTGTAAAAAAACACAAAACACAGAGCACTAGAACACTTTATACTTAGTACACAAGGGGAAATGTGTAATGTGCACCACAGTTATTCTAAAGGAACAGTGAGTGATCAGTTTGGTAACAAGCTATTTGATCCAGGGTCTCATTTGGTCTGGCTTTCACACAAATCGGAACCAGCTGGATGATGATTAGTTTTCCAAATGCTGCTATAAGAAAGGTCAAATGGTGCTAGTGGGGAGGAAGGACTGCAAATATCTTGAGTCCTGTTCCTATTGTTTGGCAATCTTTAAGGTCCAAGTGTGAATACCTAGTGACAGGACAAGAAGACAGGATTGGGATTCAGTTGGTATCTCCTATGCTGCTAGGCAACTATTTGTCTGCCTTAATTGGAAACGGCAGCATCACAAATGGTGCTGATTTCCCCAGAACTAAATGTGTTGCTGGATGTTAACATTCATGTCAAGGCTCCTTAATCATATCAGGAACCACTCAGGGTTACGCAACTTTCATGGCTGCTGTGGACCTGTTTCAATTGATGTCGGGACCTACATGTGTGGCATTGGCGACGCTGGATCTGATTCTGCTGGCTAGGGCAACAATGACCCTTCTTCTCAGGAACAGGTCATTTTCTAAGAGGGTTTTCATGTGCTGGGACACTCAATCTCTGTGGGGACAGGGGAACTGTTAAAATGGCCCAATGAATCCCTAAGGCTTCACAAACGCTCTGGAGGGATTTCCCAGCAGCTACGAGAGCTGGCAATTGTGCTGACATCGTGATTTATCAATGGAATGGGGAGACGACTAAGGCGATCAATATAATTGCTCCTAAGCATTCCCTGTGTGAGTGCAGAGCATGGGCTCCTTGGATTCCTGAAGAGGTCAGGGGAATGAAGCCTTTGGTTTCAGTGAAGTGACGGTGGAGAAAAAGTCCAGAAAAATTTGACTAAGGTTTAGTTAGGACCCATTATAGAGCCACTCTGTAGCAGTGGAAGTAGCAAAAATAAGTTGTTTGCAGGCTTCGGAACATGAGCAGGGTCATGCCCAGAACTGTTTCCGAGGATTACAATCTAGAACTCAGTGGCTGAGCAAGGCACCCTCAAAACCCCACTGTGTTGAATCAGCAAATCACTTTGCAGAGAAAACTGACCCCATCACTCTTCGGACTTGGACACCAGACCGAGGGTAAGCTCTAGGGGGATAACTGGGTCAGGCCTCTGCCTAGTTTGGATAGAGAATTTATTCAACCTTATTATACAAGCTGCTTGAACAATGAGGCCAACCACTTGCTTGTTAGATTTGGGTCCTTCCTGCCTCACAAGAGCTGGCCAACTAGCTGGTGGAACTTAGCAATGAATACTTCACTGAAGGAGGACTGTGTTCCAATCTCTCTAAAAGAAGTACTTATCAGATCTCACTTGAAGGAATCATGACAGGTAACTATCCGTCAGTATCCGACCTTCCTTTTTAAAACAAGGTCTTGGAGCAAGTGAGGGCAACATAACTTCAGATGGAGCACAATACAGCGACAACATCCAGTTGGAGAAGATACAGCTTTGGTCTACCAGCTTGGTAGATGCCCTACACAGGAAGCTAGGCAGAATGAATTCATCCCTGTTGGCCGAGTTGGATTTTTCAAGCCATATCCAGTACTTTTAATCCTGGTATGCTTCTGAGCTCTTTGGAGAATATGGACTTCCATTGTGGTGCTTCCAGACCCATTTAGATAGATATTTCCACAGCATCCCATGGAACGCTCTCAGCTGAAGAACGGCTCTTCTGCCTGTAGCTTCTCCCAGAGATCAGTGCTGTTCCCTATGATTTTAACATTTACGTGAATCCTCCGAGGAAGGTCATCTGAAGCTTTGGGGCTGGATCTCAGCACTAGGTTAATAATATCTAGTTTTATCTCTCTTTTTCAACCAACAGCAATGAGGGTGTGGGAATCCTGAATTGCTGTGTGGACACAGCGAGAGAGGTGGGTCAAAGTGGCAGCTGGACTGCTAAGACAAGCCATGTATCACCTGTTTTGCACCAACTGCATTTCCTTCCTATTGTTTTCTGAGTTTAATTCAAGATGCTGGTTTTGTCTAAATGACTTGATGCCCAGATACCTTCTCTGAAATGTGCCTGCCCTGACTGAGAGATCTTGAACAAAGGCCCTGTTGCACGTTGCTGAAAAGCGAGGCTGATGTGTACACGAGAAAGGGCTTCCTCCATGCCAGCACCATGGATCATGGAATTTCCTACCAAGGGAACTCAAGCTTGCTTTATTCATTATGAACTTCAAGTAAGCCAAGAAAATATTATTTTGTACTGTGTGTGCAGAGTGGTTTTGGAGCTGGCTTTTAGAGTTGCTGATCTGTTCTTAAAGAATGCTGACTTTTAACATTGGTTTTCAAATCACTATTCATAAGTTTGAAGGAATGTTTTTCTCTTTTATGTGGTTGAGCCTCATTTTGGGGCTCCCTCATCAATTCAGAAACAACTAATAACTACTTTAAATAAAATAAGAAGAGAGAGAGAAAAAAAATCCAATCATTTGAAGGAGCAAAAGGCCTTCAGAGAAGTTAGGTTGTAGAGCTAGATGAGCAGAGTCATGGGTGGGAATATGCTTTGATTTAAATGTGGAGAAATGAGGAGGATAGCAAAAAACCTATATAGGATCTCTCTCTCTCTCTCTCTCTCTCTCTCTCTCTCTCTCAGAAGTTAGGTTGTAGAGCTAGATGAGCAGAGTCATGGGTGGGAATATGCTTTGATTTAAATGTGGAGAAATGAGGATAGCAAAAAAAAACTATATAGGATCTCTCTCTCTTTCTCTCTCTCTCTGTGTGTGTGTGTGTGTGTGTGTGAGAGAGAGAGAGAGAGAAAGAGAGAGAGAGAGATGAACTTGAAGGAGAAACAGTAGACAATAAATGTCCCTCCTCCCCCTCCCTCAAGGGGCTGCATGTGCTGTGTGAATTAATGTAACCCACTCCTCGTACAGAGGACAAAGTCCTTTATGTTTTTCACTATGTAGCACAAAAATACCAGTTGGGAGATGTGCCAGTGACACACACAGCAACAGAAGCATCAAGCGTGTAGGCTAGGAAAGGAGCGGACCTGGGAAGTGGAATCAAATGGAGAGAACTGGCCAAATGTTATTCCAAAAGCAGGGACAGTCCCCACCTCCGCACATCATCAAGCAGTGAAAGAATTTACCTGCATCAGAAGTCGGAGGGGTTTTCCAGCCTCTTGCTCCAGGACTCGAAACTTCACACCAGCTGCAAGTACATAAGGAGAAGCAGGTGATGGAGAAATAGAGGCTTGCCCAGCTGTGTGTCTGCAGTGAGAGAACTGCAAACTAGAGGAGGAACATATGGCCCTGCACAGGTTGGTGAGTGACAGATCCTAGGACCCACTGGCACCAGCTGCATTGGCTAAGGCCAGCAGGGGCGGCAGTCCAAAAAGATCGGCAAGGCCACACATTCTGCAACACTGCCTTAAATGGCACAAGAAAAGTGAAAACAAGGAAGAACATCATAGACAAAGGAGACAAACTACAGATAGAAGCCCTGCTTCCCACTCACTTGGCTCATGGCTGAAGTGTACTGAGGATCTGCTACCTGTTTTGCAAACCTTATGCTCGCGTGACATCATAAAAACAATGAGGAGGAATCACAGCTCCCTGGCAGAGTTCTGCATGCTGAACCTTCCAGGTGCAAGCCAGGCTTGGTCCCTCCAGCCCAAAGGGGTGATAGGAAAGGCCTGCTTCCACCTGAGATTCTGGAAAGTGGGCAATGTTGGACAAGATGCACAGTCCCTCCAGGTAGAAGGCAGTGCTTCATGAAGAACTCCCCTGCATTCGGATAATCTCCCTTCTGCTGTGTTAAATAGTGTGTCCCTACCCATGCATGCATCAAAGAGCAGGAGCCTGATTGGACAACTGTGTGGTTTCTTAGTTATTAAAAGCATGTTATGCCTTCCCATAAGTCCATTTAGCACTAGGGTTGTGACCTGACTCCTGGATTTCTATCTTCTTGCACAGGAGACCCTAATACTTGTACCAGCTTCTACCTTGTATTCCTTTGTGGAATACAAAGTTTCCTCTTCTTTTTGTTCCTTTGTGGTATACAGTACTCGTTAGCTGCTTTCTTTGATTCAAAGTCCTGTCTAGCTTCTGGTAGCACCTTTGCTTTAGAGCAATGGCTTGGCAATGGGTTAGGAACAACTGTTTCTAGTTTCAGCATCCCCGAACCAAGGTTGGGGGACCCCACAGTCCCTTATTACGGGACATGCTGGGCAGGGCATCTGGCAGGGGGTGCTCAAAACCATGCTGATATCAAGGATGTGAAGGCTTTACATTTGTTCTTCCTAATGCATTTTATCTGAACTGGGACATTTCCTCCATTGATCCTGCATTTGTGTGTGTTTTCTACCTGAGTTGCAGCCATCCATTTTTCAAAATGTGCAACCTGTTTTGATGTATTATTTCTCCAAAACATTGTGTAAGCCTCACACATGTGCAAATTCTCAAGACTGGATGCATTCTTTTTTTTGCAACAAGTTCTGAGAGGCAACTTCCATAGAGACTACAATGTTTCCCTGAAAATAAGCTCTAACCTGAAAATAAGCCCTAGTAGGATTTTTCAGGATGCTCGTAATATAAGCCCTACTCCAAAAGTAAGTTCCAGTTAAGTGAAACCCCGCCCTTGTGCAGCAACCAGAAGATGACATGACTGTATCGGAATAAATGTAGATTGTTGTCCATGAAAAAAAATAAAACATCCCCAGAAAATAAGCCCTAATGTGTTTTTTGGAGCAAAAATTAATATAAGACCATGTCTTATTTTCAGGGAAACACGGTGTCAAACCAACTAAATCTTTTCCACCCCTAGCTATGGCCACTCATACATTCCCGATACTCCTGCACATTAATCAGCACTTTCTGACCGACTAAATCTTTTCCACCCCTAGCTATGGCTACTCATATACCCCAATACTCCTGCACATTAATCAGCACTTTCTGCCAGCAGACTAGCCTAACATCATTTTTAGACTTCTTTTTCATTCATTGACTGGCCTTGCACTGGTTTTGAGCAAAGTCTCTTGAAATCAAGTCCCTAAGACAACCCTAACCTTTTCTAGAGACAAAGTGTGCAACGAATCCAGGATATTCATTTTTCCCCCCCAGAAAAACTATAAGCAACACTGGGTGGTGATTATTTCTTCTAGGACCTCCAATCTCTCCAAACAAAGCTACATACGTTTGCTATTGAAAAACAAGAGGTGCAAAAAAGAATAGTAACTGTAGAACACAATTTTTTAAAATCATCCCCCCCAAAGTAGGAAATGTTCCTCTCTCCTAGTTAACTGAGATTATGTACATATCACACCATAGGGACAACACTGATTTAGATCATCTAATTCTATTGCGGCACTGGTGTTTTATTCTCTGACCGAACCCTGGATTAAATTGCAAAGCCCTGAAAATTTCCCCAGTCAGGAGCCTTTGCTGCGGCTACAACATAGCCTTGTTGAACTCACCTGCAAGCCTGTAGGATCGGCAGAGCCGAAGAAGGACTGAATAGAAGGGCAATGAGTTGATGAGATCCACCAGAAGACGGATCAAACCTTGCACAATCACCACCAACAGACGAAGCTAGGATGGGAGGGAAAAACCTTTAGCCAGTTGTAAAAGCCTTAAGCTTTGCTACATTTTACAACAGTTCCTTTTTGGAATGAAGAAGCTGCAAACACCTTTGCAAATTCTGTGCTTAAGAGAGAAAGTCTGAGGACACTAACATGCCAAATATTCATCCTGGGGTCTTCATCTGGGCCTGGTAGGAAAGCCTCAAACATGTATCTTCTCATGCAGTCAAATGCTGTTATTAATAGGTGAATAAAAGGCAGGTGTGGGCATGGAGAACCAATATAAATCCATGGTGTGCTCTCTCCTCACCATGCAACATTTAAGAGGCCGTATAGCATCATGCAAAACTTCACATTTGGGGAAGAGGGATAAGTTGAGCCCCTAAACTGGAGATTATTTAGCTTGTGTGTCTGGCAGTGATAGCATCATGCAAAACTTCACATCTGGGGAGGAGATTATTTAGCTTGTGTGTCTGGCAGTGCCGATCATAAAGGAAAAGAGCCTGCCACAGAATCACAGAATAATTGAGTTGGAAGGGGCCTATAAGACCACTGGGTCCAACCCCCTGCTCAGTGCAGGAATCCAAATACACATCTGTCAGCAGATCTGACAGAGGGTGGCCCAATTTCCTTGAATGCCTCCAGCGTTCAAATGCCCACCTCCTCCTAAGGTAATTGGTTCCACTGTTGTACTGCTCTGTTAAGAATTTTTTCCTGATATTCAGCCTAAATCTGGATTCCCGTAGCTTCCCCATTATTATTTGTCCTACATTCTGGGATGATGGAGAACAGATTCTGCCCCTCCTCTGTATGACTACCTTTCAAGTATTTGAAAAGTGCTACCATATCTCCCCTCAGTCATAATTTAAATTGGGTACTTGATTCATTTTTTAAAAAAAATTCACTTCTCAGATCTTGGAGGATGAAAAGATTGGGAAATGATAATAACAAAATGGTATTTACTAAACAGAAGTGATAAAGTGTTTTCACCGAATTTAGGTAAAACCATATTGTGGTTTATTGCTTGTGAACAACGTATTGAATCAATTCAACTATCATATCAAACCATAATTCAGGATAGTTTCATGTGATGTCTGAATTGACAAACCATAGCTTGTTGCAGGAGAGCCACTATGATGTAATGGACAGAATACTGGAGGAGGACACAGGAGACCAGGAGTCAAGTCCCAGCTTGGCCATGGGAACTCACTAGACCAGTGGTTCCCAACCTTGGGTTTCCAGATGTTCTTGGACTAAAATTCCCAGAAGTCTTCACCACTTGCTATGCTGGCCAGGATTTCTGGGAGTTGTAGTCTAAGTATATCTGGGGACACAAGCTGGGAACCACTGACCCAGCAATAAACTACACTTTGAACATCTCAGATATCTTGAAAACTGTATTCTGCTTTCAAAGGTTTATGCACTGTGGAGATGGATGAAAATTTATGAAATTACTAAAGAAAGTGATGAGAAAATGGGAAATTAGACTGAGGAAACATCTCTGCTGTACACCTGGAAGTTCAAATCATGAATGGCTTTTCAATTCTGATTTCTGCAAATCATAGTTTGGCATGACGTTTATATTGACCTTACTGTCATATAACCTATTTACGGAATTTCGAATACTGTGCTGCTACTGCAGTGCATTGATTTTTTAAAAAATCTTGCCTTTATACCAGAGAGTTCAACCAGTTCAACCCAAATCTTAACTAAACTACAATCCACAGGCTAGGAATATTTACTTCAAATGTTTGCACATTGCTTTGAGTTGAGAAAAAGAAAGGCACAAATGCATTTTTTTTAAACCATAATCATAATCACCACGAAGGCAAACTTACCAAAGTAAAGACTAAATAGTACAGCGCAGTTGTTGGCAAGAGGAACAGCAAGATGGTAAATAATAAAGTGCCAATAAATAACTAGAGGAGGAAAAGGACATTAAAAAAATATATTAGCAGACATTAGGTGTAAAAGAAGATCTTAGGTGTGATGGAAACGTAAAGCGGAGAGTGTGAGGGATCTCATCCTCCACATTCTCAGCCAAATAGCACTGCAGTGATCTAAACATTTCAATTTATGTCTTCCTCCTCATTCCCATCAAGGCTCTCTCCGCAGTACGGTATACTACGCAAGCCAGGAAAGATGTGTTTTTAATGCTCTGAGTCTGCAAAAGAGGAGGCAATGCAGCAGAGGTTCATTTGACCCTCCAGAGGCTTTGAGATAGAACAGCTGCTGCCTCCATCCAGAATGGAAAGGACCTCTGTAGTCGAAAAGATCTGGAGAATCCAGGTTCCCATACTTGCTTTAAGCTGCAAATACTGTTTTTCACCCAAAATAAGACAGGGTCTTATATTAATTTTTGCTCCAAAAACGCATTAGGGCTTATTTTCAGGGGGTGTTTTATTTTTTCCCCATGTACAACAATCTACATTTATTCAAACACAGTCATGTCATCTTCTGGTTGCTGCACAAGGGTGGAGGGCAGAGTTTCACTTAACTGGGGCTTATTTTGGGGGTAGGGCTTCTATTACGGGCATCCTGAAAAATCCTGCTAGGGCTTATTTTCAGGTAAGGTCTTATTTTCGGGGGAAACAGGGTAGTTATGCAGGAACTCCGAGCAGGGTATAGATGTAATAAACAAATCAATTAGTAAGTTGCCTCTCCAACACTGCAACGAGGCTAACAGAATGAAGATCACTGTATCAATTTACAACTGAGATGTTATCCAGACCCAGACCTTCCTGATTTAGCTGCTACACATTGCTTCCTAATTATGGAAAGAAACTAGTAAACAAATCCCCTTGTTAGCTGTGGTGTTCTGGAGTTGTTGTCCAAAGACGTAACGTCTCTGCCCACATGTTATGATGATTATAAACATTTTGGTTTAGAGGCAGTATACCAGTGGGAATGATATGCTGGGGAGCAACACATAGAGAAGGCAAGAGTCTGTAGTTTTGCTTGTGGGCTTCCTAGAGGCAGATGTTTGGCAACAATAGGAAAACAGACCCAGTGGAGTTTCTTTTATATTCTTGTGAGATGACTGAAAAGGGAACAAACTGGACCAGATTTTCAGCTGTAACTTATCAGTACAAGCCAAATGTATCTAATGTTTACGTAAAATTTCAAGCTCAAATATGGAAAAGGCACAAGTAAAAAGAAGATCTACTCTTGTTTCTACAGAAAAAAAATACATAGTATTAATGAGATGTCAGGAAAATGATGGAAACACCCTTCTGCTGAACAACAAGGTACACTGGGGGTCGAGCACTTCTCTAGGAAGAACTTAAGAGCTTGGGCATCTCCTTCAGCAGCTCAAGGTAAAACCATGCATCAGCCCTTAAAATTTTGCACTGCAGACTGCCTGCAGAAGTTATAAAAGAGTAGCTCTGCAAAAATCAGAGAGCACCATGGCAGAATCAGGAAAGAAAAAGCCAGCCATCTGCCCCAGGCCAGGAAAGGAATTATAATAAAAAAAAGTTAAGGAAGTTTCTCAAAACCTAAGCTCTCCTTTTTCCCCCCTTTCTCTTTCCAGAAAAGTTTGGACTGGGGTGGGTGGGAAAGATCAACTATAATACTGATCATGCTGTTGCCTTGACATTTAAAAAAAAAGGTACGAAGGAGCTAGACTATTTTCCACACATATGCACACACACACATAAATATATATCCCACGCCCTGGTGGGAGTGTGTGGGCCTAACTCCATTGGATGTGAATTAAGCAGGGCCTTTTAATAGAAACACAAAGCCACAGGTAACTATGGAAACACTGTTGGATACAGCTATAATTATTTGATGCCTTTTACACAAATTGCTTTCCTTGCCACTGCCGCTCCATTATCTCTCCTGTGCTCCGAATTATGTGTCACTAGGCACCTGCCGGAGAGACTCTCAGGATTAGGCCCCCTTCAGTGATAATTGTTTGAGAGCTGGGCTGAAACTGGTCAGTGGAGAACAGTGACGTTCAAGGTTCAATAATAAACAAAAAGGCTGTGCCTGGTCACGTTATGGACGAAGAATAAGAAGATGCCTACATATTCCTGCTTATCTCGTGTTCAGTCTGGGCGGTGGTCTCTACCAAGAGTATGTCTGGCTCAAAACCAAAACAGACTCAGTTGCTGCAGCTTCTGCCAGCGGACCTACGGATACACTGGTAGCGGGCAGGAAAAAAAGGTGTCACCAAAATTACATCCAGTTAAGTGAGCTCCCGTCGCTTGTCCCAGCTCCCGCCTACCTAGCGGTTCGAAAGCATGCAAATGCAAATAGATAAATAGGGACCAAGACCTACGGATACCTTGGTAGCAGGAAGGAAAAAAGGGTGTCACCAAAATTACGTCCAGTTAAGCCCCTTGAAGATATGGCTGCTGGTCCATTGTCGGGCACAATTTAAAGTACTGGTTCTTACATTTAAAGCCCGAAATGACTTGGGTTCAAGCAGTCTTAATGACTGAATTTCTGTCTTCTCTGTGGCTGCACCAAGACTCTGGAACTCCCTCCCACTAGAGGCCAGTCTGGCTCCATCTTTGCTGTCCTTCCACAAGCAGGTGAAGCCCCCTAGAGTCGAACATGACTGGACAAAAAAAATTTGTCAAGGGGAACCTTTACCTTTAAGCCCCTTGAAGATAACACCTGTGTGTCAGGTGGGGAGTGCACACACACACACACACACATATATATACATATGGCTGCTGGTCCATTGTCGGGTACAATTTAAAGTACTGTACTGGTTCTTACATTTAAAGCCCGAAATGACTTGGGTTCAAGCAGTCTTAATGACTGAATTTCTGTCTTCTCTGTGGCTGCACCAAGACTCTGGAACTCCCTCCCACTAGAGGCCAGTCTGGTTCCATCTTTGCTGTCCTTCCACAAGCAGGTGAAAACCTTTTTCTTCAAACGGGCTTTCCCTGTCTGAAAAGCTGTCTAAGAGTGGATTTTTAAACGGGGTGTTGTGCCTTGTTGCTTTGAATCTGTTTTTGGTGTTGACTTTGTTTACTATTTTTAGCGTGGCATTTCTTTATTCTTTTTAGTATTTGTATACTTACTGCGTTTAGCTTTTAAATGTGGTCTTTTAATAATGAAATCTGCCTTGGGTCCTTTTTAAGGAGAAAGGTGGGGTAAAAAATATTCTAAATAAACAAACAATGTGATTTTTAACTACAATTCACACTTCCTATCCTCCCCTGCCCCAAAAAGCCTTCACCTGGTCCAAATCGTAGGAGCAGGAATCCACTCGTTGCCTCAAGACATTCCATTTTTTCCCACGGAACAAACGCCACAGTGATGACAAGCCATAGATCTTGAGGCAGTAAAGCCTGCATCCAGAAGAAGAAAACACAAAATCAGGGCTACAGAAAGCGACAATTTTCTAGCCCTAAACCTTCTATTCTCGGGGTGGGGAATGATACTGTTTCACTTTAACTCCTGCCACTCCTCATCACTAGGTTTTGATGACACAGACAAGGGGATCTGAAAATCAACAACACCTGGAAGTCACCTGTCCCCCAATCCTCACATAGCGTGCTTTCCTTCAAGAGATGGCAATCAAGGTTCTTCTCCTTTCCTGCGCCTTCTCAACAACCTTGTGATGTTGTGATGACTCGTTGCCTCAAGACATTCCATTTTCCCCCATGGAACAAAAGCCACAGTGATGACAAGCCATAGATCTTGTAGGTTATAATGTTCAACAGGCTCACCGGCAGCAAATAAGAACTTGATGGCTGAATATGGAGATCTGAACCCTTGTCTTCCCAGGATATTTTGACATACAGGACTAGGCAACATTGCTGGTCCACAATTCCCTGGCTGATAAGAGTTCAATCCTACAATATGTGAAGAGCCATGTATCTCACACCCGTAATTCACGTGCTCTTATACTGCTCAGCAGACTGACCAACAAGATGATCCATTCAAAGGGAAGTGTCCCTGGTTCTTGACTGGGTGCTACTGGTGCTTCCAACAGGGCAGAACATTTATTGCAGACCGCTACATATCTTTATTCCGTAAGACATTCAACAATAGGAAGTCAACTGGATGCACTGCACAAGTGCCTACTGGCAAGTGGCATCCTTGTAGAGTTGGAGAGAAGAATGCAGGCTCACCTGTCCTGCAGGTCTTGATTGTGAGGCTGGAACTGCTATACAGAATATCACTATCAAGCCCAACTGAATAATTGAGAAGACACAGTTGGGACTAAGAACCAATTCACATATTAGAGAATTCCCACGTGGAATTTGTGTAATGTATGAAGTGGTCTAAAAATCTGGTTCCCATGACTTCTTTGTCTTTCCCAGAGTGGATTTTTTTCATGCTTCTCAGAAGTGGTGACAATAATGTTCCCATCGGGAGATGCATACGGAGAGCAGCCTCATTCATGAAACGCTGGGGAATAGTGTCCATTAGCACAAATACAGCTCCAATTTTTACTGTATTATTGAGGTTTCACAGTGTTCCAAATATTTTGAGAAGCAGTAGAGTAGTGGAGAGACAGGAAAAGTCCCAAGGAAGGGGCAGAAGCCCTTTCACTGTCCCTGGCCATTGCCCTTTTAGCATGTTCTGCGCCCTCCTTCATCTGAATCTAGTCTGACTTTCCATATGATCTGTTCTATGTACAGATGGTTTGTTTGTTTGTTTGTTTGTTGTATTTATATACTGTATTTATATGAACCCACACACACACCATCAAATCAAAGGACACAAATAATGAACAGGTCAGGGGATAAAATGCACCTTTGTTGGAGACCTTTGCCTATAGGAAATGATTATGTGCCTCCATATTCTGTCCTAATGGTATTCTGTCCTAATGGTAGCTTGTTGTCCACAATACAGACTATACATCTGAACAATCAAGTCCCGAGGCCCACCCATTTTTTATAAAGAAAACCCATAGTTTCTCATGATCCACACAGTCAAAGGCTTTGCTGCAGCCTATAAAACATAGATTGATCATAGATGCCCTCTAGTGGGTCAAATAAGCACCAAGTGTGGATGTGATGGTTGGCAGAAGTTGGGTAAAAATGAAATTTACCTGCGAGCCTTGAAGAGTTTCTACCAGTTATGGAATACAACACTTGACTACATGAGCTGATAGCCTGATTCGGTAGCTGGCAACTTCACAGGATCTTTCCTAATCCCAACGGAATAACAGACTTGTATCATGTCCCAAATGCGTCCAAGATGGAATATTTAATCAATGTCATTTACACAGAGATTTTAATGTTATTAATTGGCTGGATAGCTCAGTGCTTTGGGTATCTGGCTGTGAAGCCAGAAGCTGGGAGTTTGATTCCCCCACGGGGCTTCCTAGGAGTAGAGTCAACCTGTGTAGCCTTGGGCAAGCTGCACAGCCCCAGAAGAAGGGAATGATAAATCACTTCTGAGTATTCTCTACCTGGAAAACCCTCAAAAAAGGTTGCTGGTAGAATTGACTTGATGGCATATGATTATTATTACTACTATCTCAAGGTCAATAACAACAACAAGCACAAGAAATTTATACAGCGCCTTTGCTCAGAACACTTTACAAACTGTTGTTGTAAGAAATTCTTATAACAGCCGTGTAAAATAAAGATGAATTGAGACTTTCTAGTCTATAGCTCACATTCTTACAAGGCGACAAGGCGAGGGGAGAAAGAAGTGGGTGGATATGTGACTTGCTCCTGATCTAATGAACTATGGTTTGCTGGACTGGAATTACTAGGTCTGAACCAGACCAGTATTTGCGTCTGCTTCACGAGTATGCACTCTCTCCGTTTTACAGATGAAGAGCCATGGATGAAAAGCCAGCCAGTAAGCTCATGAATGGCGAGAAATAAACTCCATTTCAATTCACCTTCTGTGGAGCCACGCTGGTTAAGTAATCAGTCACACAAGGCCTCCAGAATACTCACCTGGCTCCATAAACATAGAAGCAGTAGATGTGGAAGGTCAGGAGTGCGATGATGTCAGAGAGGATGGAAAGGGCCACAGTCAGACCAAGACAAGCAGATAAACCCACGTACCACAGGATCATCTCGATGAACGGAGACATCAGGTGGATATAGCCTGGTGAATGGAAAAGAGAAAAAAGTAATGCCAAAAAGAGCACCATTGCCTTTTGAAAACCACAAAAGGAAACACTGAGGCGGATCTTCTAGCTCTGATGAAGGCAAGGGTCAAATTTTTTCCCCCATCAGAGCCCCTTCTCACAACAGCCAAACGACCCCAACTAAGTGGTTTATCAACACATCCGTTCACCAAACAGAACCACAGCAAATACACAGCTCCACGCACAGTTGGCCTGCCTTATCTGGGATGTATGTTCCAGCCTGTCATTGTGAGGGAAGTGGGAGCAGCGTGGAGCACTGCAGGTGAACATTCTGAATGCTGTTTGCTGGCAGAATAGCCGGATGTAACTTGAATGAAAAAAGATGGAAGGGTGGGGATGAGGAGGTGGGTGGGAGGAGCGGGAATATGTCAATGTGCACATCTGAGAAAGAGATGAGAAAGGGAATACCTGGAACATATGAGGGCAAAGGAGGGAAAGCTGTATGTAAGTATGCACATCTGAGAAAGAGATGAGAAAGGGAATACCTGGAACATATGAGGGCAAAGGATTGTCTGGATGAGCATTTGTGCATTTACCATGAAGAAGTAAATGCACGAAACTCTTGATTGTCAGATTATGTAACTGTTACTGTTTTGGACTACAATTCCCAGAACGCACGAAACTCTTGATTGTCAGGTTATGTAACTGTTACTGTTTTGGACTACAGTTCCCAGAACCCTGCACAGGTACTAGGGATACTGGCTGGGCATGCTAAGAGTTATAGTTCAAAACCTAACATTTCCATGCTATAATCTATGTGACATGGGAGGCCGAGGGAGCCACTAACTCTGGTCATGTCTGCTGCAAGCCAGAGTTTTGTCAACTGCTGCCTTGGACACCCTTCACCACCAGCGCACAGCTCTTCGTGAACGAAAAGATTGCCCACTGGAGTTTAAGCTCCCATATTCATTTTATTCTCCCCAGAACAGTTTAGAGACAGCAAACGTATTTTGCTTGAAGGGTGCCAGACTCTACAGCAAACTTTATGGTGGTTAACTCCAAGGGTTTGAGAGCAGTCGAGCATATGGACTCGGATATGGCCAAAGCATCATAGGCTAAACCCAGGAGAAATATGTCGAAACATGTAACAGTGATATTTAATGAAACTGGGAAGATCTTCTAGTAAGCTGTGACAGAAATGTAATCGTGTCTCCAGAGGGCACAGAAAAGACTGGGTCCAAACCAGAAGCTATCAAATGGACAACTCTGGTTTAAATGATATGAACCATTACCAGCCATGCACTGTTCTGGCCTTGTAGCTGCTGACACAATGCAGCTAGAAAATATCAAAATACAAATAGTTACTAATATGCCACATTGTACTCTGGAAGTATTCCTTATCATGAAACAGTGATTTATTTATTTACAAGATTTTTTTAGCCGTGCCATTATATATCCCCCGTATCATGAAACATTGATTTATTTATTTACAAGATTTTTTGCATTTTGGCTTTGTTGTAGAGACACTTGGTTATATCCCCCTGAGGGTTCTAAAACATTTGGGTGTGTGTGTGTACATTTTGGCTTTGTTGTAGAGACACTTGGTTTTGCTGTAGGGATGCACTGTGAAGATCCAAATGGAACTCACCCAATGCTGAGGTCCCTCAGTATAGTTTTTCCAAGCAGGTCTGATTGTGTTCAGAAGGGTGCTGGTCAAAGGGCCGTTCAGTAGGTCCCCTGCTCCATCAGTGGGAGGCCAATGGGGCTCCAACAACCTCAGTAGATGCTGCTAATTCTCACTTTAATTTCTCACCATGTTCCAGGGCGATGCTGCCCTAAATCCAACTAGTAGCCATCTCCTTCTAATCCCCAGCAAACCCTCAGGTTTAGTCACCAAAGGGGAAAAAAAGGCACGTACTTATCCAGAGGTGGATGTGGTAAAGGAAGAACCGGCCCAAGACTTGGTCCAAAGCTCTGTTCATTTTTAAACCCGCTGGCACACCCATCAGCCACTGTAAGAGGTTCTGGAGCTGCTGCGCAACATGCTACCATAAAGGAAAAGACAAATAAAAGCAGTTAGCTCAAAATTGTTCCTCTGTACATGCAAAGCACTACCTACAAAATGCTAATGTCAGATGAAAAAAAATTGCCACTTTTTCCCCTTGTGGAAGGGGGAAAAATGATCTCGTGGCTGCAGTGGTAACATCAAACATGCTTGGATAACACAGAAAAGGGGTGGGGAGGAACCCTATGCTGCCCTTGTATAAAATCCAAAACCAGAGGGAGAAATACATTTACTGCAACTACTAGAAAAAATATATATATATAAAGGCAAATGTTTGAATTCTGCAGGACTCTTCCCCAGGCAGGGCATTGTAGAGCTGTTGCTAAACAACTGAAGATTACGACCTGGGAACTCCTTCCCCATGAAATTCAGTCAACGAGGCACTGCAGCTGCACAACAGAAGCCTCCTTCGGAAGAACCCCAGAAAGGTGCATTAGAGATCATTACAAAAGCCCAGTAGCCTTCAAGTTGCATGATTGTTTTGCGGTGGCAGCCAAAACTCTCAAGGGATCATCGAAACAACTCTACAAGCTACCTGACAGCTAAACCCTTAGACCTTGGTCTTATATTGCTATAGTTGCGGTCTTAGATATTTTACTTTTTTGTTTGTCTGGCTCTTTGTAGTGCATGCCAGTTTTTGAAGTTTTGCACTCAATTTTGTCTTCCGTATGGCTCGATGCTGTAGCAATAAAGTATGTATGTACCTGACTGTTCACCTCCCCTACAAAGGCTTGCAGATCATCACTTGCCTCGTTGCCCCTGATGTGTAAGCATAACTTCCAGGCAAGCTGGCAGGCTGATTCTTCTGTGTGTTTTAAACAATAACTGGTTCTTTTGATTTTCTTTCTGTTTACTTGCTTAGCATAAACAGATGAACTGTAATGCCTGTCAGGTAACAACATGTGCGCTTATTTCCAGAGGTGATATAGAGAGGATTCTACAGCGCAGAGATGGTACATCTAAAGAAAAGGGTCCTTCATGACAAAAATCCCTTCTCAAGCACGACTGATCACACTGCATCTCTTAGGACTCTCTGAAAATGCAAGGAACTCTTAGCTTGGAATCCCAGAGGCTAACCTTGAGAAAGCTGCTGCCCTTTAAATGGAAGCACTCTGTTCTATTCATGGCAACAGTTTTCTATTTACAGTAAAGCACTGCTTATGCCAAAACACACACACACACACACACACACTCAAGATAAGCAGTTCTGCTCCACAGAGCTAAGCTGAGCTAAAGACATTTATGGAAGGTATTGCACATCTCAAGAATGGCTTCCTCGCTCAAGATAAGCAGTTCTGCTCCACAGGGCTAAGCTGAGCTAAAGACATTTATGAAAGGTATTGCACATCTCAAGAATGGCTTCCCAATAATGGTATAAGGAGGACCTCCCTATGACTGTTTCATTGCTCTAAACATTCCATGTAAAAAGAGGACCCAGAAGGACAAAATGGAACAAAATCCAAAGGCAGGCAATATTTTTATTATTTATGCATTATTTCAATTTGTATACTGCCCCATAATGCACACAGCTTTACAACACATTAAAAATAACGGATATTCAACAACAAATTTATCTATAAAATTGATGAACCCTGCCATCAGCTAAAACCTAACTTTCAATAAAATTAAACAAGTTAAATCAAATGAGAGCATTTCAGGTAGTTAATAAAAGGCCGTTTTGAAAAATAAATACAGTTTTTGCTAATTTTAGAAAACAACGAAGGAAGGTGCCTGACGAGATTCTCTTGGAAGTTTATTCCACAGGGAAGGGGCCAGGATTGGAAAAGTCTTAACTCTTTTGGTCACCTTTGGTGTCACTATTTTTAACATTATGGACTGTGAGGAGCGGGTGGGATGGGCAGCTATTCCAACACACATCAAAGTCTTAAACAGTGAAGGGCTTTATAGGTCATGCCTTTAAATTGGGCATGGGAACTAACTGAGAGTCAATGAAAGTGTGCCAAGACTGGGGATATGTGCTGCTATCTGCTGGTACCTGTGATCAGTCTGATCAATATATTTTGGACCTGGTGAAGTTTCTGTACTAACTGCAAGGGCAGCCCTATGCAGAGACTGTTACAGTCCTCTGTTTTAGAGATTACCACCTTGAACCACTGTTGTTAGGCATTTCTCCTCCAAGTAGGGGTGCAGCTGGGCAATCAACCAAGTTGATGAAAGACTCTTGACCACAACCAATATTTGTGTCTCTTCATTTGGGTCTAAGATGTACACACATTTGATCCCTGGGCAATCAACCAAAGCTGATGAAAGACACTCTTGACTGCAGCTGATATTTGTGTCTCTACAGACAGAGTTGGGTCTAAGATGTACACACATTTGATCCTTCAGGGGGAGTGTAACCCCACTGAAGCCAGGTAAATATGCCTCTAACCAGTCCAACAGTCCATCCAACAGAACGATCTCCATCGCGTTGGGATGCAGTTTCAGTTTACTGGCCCTCTTCCAGTTCATTATCAATGCTAGACAGCACAAAAGAACTTGTGCTGCATCACTGGCAGATGAGGAATAGCAGAGAGAGCGCTGTGTGTCATCCACATACTGATGACAATGAACTCCAAATCTTCATACGGCTTCTCCCAACAGCATTATACAGTTGAAGCTAGAGAGATCCCATAATGAAGATCCCAGGGGGTGGACCTCACTTCCCCAAGTTGTATCATCTGAGATCAGCCCTCAAGGAAGGACTGGAACCATCAAAGAACAGAACCTCCAAGTCCAAAACTCAATAGCTGTCTCAAATGGATACTGTGGTTGACAGTATCAAAGGCTGCAGAAAGATCCAGAAGGACTAGCAGGGTTATATTCCCCATGTCTGCCTCCTTCAGGAGATCATCTTGCGCAGTGACCAATTCCATTTCAGTTCTGTTGTCCGGCCTAGGCCTCAACTGATATGGATCTAGCTCATCTTGTGCAGTGACCAATTCCATTTCAACTATGTTGCACGGCCTAGGCCTCAACTGATATGGATCTAGGCTATCCATTTCCTCCAAGAACATCTACAGAATATGGCCACCACCCTCTTGATCAACTTACTCAAGAACGGAAACTTACCAACAGGTCTATAGTTATTAAAATCACCCATGGCTAAATTTGGTTTCTTTGGAATGGGTATTATAATGGTCTCCTTTAAGTAGGAAGGTAAAAAGGCCTTCCGTAGAAATGCATTGATGATTTGTGTGGCCTATTCCCTGGTTGACTTCTCTGCTGATTCTAAGACCCACAATGAGCAGTAATTCAAACTATGCTTCCTGAGGCTTCATTCAAAAACCTAACACCATTACACACACTGATCTGCACAATCAGTACTTTTAAAGGACACCTACCATATACTTTTGTGCTGCTGACAAGCATCTCATCACTGTGTCCATAGAGACCATTTCTTAATTGCAGCCGTCTTCCCTGAGCCAGCGCCCTGCAAATGGGATGGACTATAATTCCCCAGCTGGTGGGGAACAATGGGATTTGGAGTCCAACACATCTGGAGAGCACCTGGTTAGGGACCTCAACTGAAAAAAAAAACACAATAAAAAGAAACTTACGTCAGCCATTGGAACGAGGGCATTGGCAAGATACCCAATCTGATTCTTCTGGTACAACCAGGACATCAGCAGTATTCCAAGAGCCACATCAATAAAGATGGAAAGAAAGATGTTGGCTTTTCTGAAAACAGGGTAATTAAAAAAAATCAGATTCAAGAAGCAGCTCATTAAAAGATTTAAAAAACACCTTCTAAAGTAGCCTTCCTCAAATCTATTCCCCATTCTCAATGCTTTGGATTACAAGTCCCATCAGCTTCAGCTGACATGGCAAATGGTGAGTGACCGTGGGACTTGCAGTTCAAAACTGTGGATGGTGGCAGGTTAGGAAAAGCTGCTCTACAGCAGTGGTTCTTAACCTTGGGTTACTCAGGTGTTTTTGGACTGCAACTCTCAGAAGTCTTCACCACCAGCTATGCTGGCTGGGGTTTCTGGAAGTTGCAGTTCAAAAGTACCTGAGTGAACCCAGATTAGGAAAAGCTGCTCTACAGGATACCAAGGCAAATCAATACAGGAAGAATAGCTCCTCTTATGGTACATAGCACTGTGTCATGTTAAGTATGATTCAAATTAGGAACGAAATCTAGAAAGCTGATCACGGTGTCTCTTTGATGCTTAAATTCCAGTCATGTATCTGAAGCTTTCTTAGGTGTACTTCACTACTTTAACTGAGTGAACTAAATGATAATACCAAATACTGGCTTAGAATGTAAACCAACACATTAAAATTTCTAAAGAAGCAGGAAACCATGGGCAAGACCTGCATATTTACTTTTATTTTCTTTTTGATCAGCCTGTCAATCTCACCATGATTTCTAATTCCTGGTTTGCTTCTTTATCGTAAATCATGATGTGTTCATTCAGATTTTGCACAAACCACAGTTCAGCTTCTTTAACTAGAGTTTGGCATAATGTCCTGAGGCTCCCAAGGGCTTCTCCAGATTAAAAGGGGACCCAAAGGAGTTTCAGAACCTAGGGTGTGTATGTGTGTGGAACAGGAGACTTTTAATGAGTGAAAAAAGCCTGTGACTAATGACATCACCTACTTACACAGGCGTAAATGTTCACAACAAAATTTCGGCCACTACCTCTTATCTTCACTTGATCTCCCTCTCAACCATTTGCCTGGACAGCAGTGTTCATTTGTATATATACTTGTAGCCCAGCAAATATTTAATAAAAATATTAATTCATGCAAGCTTGGTACCCGTGGTTATATCTTGAGCTCTTTAGTTACCACATCACTTATAGTTGGGAAGCCCAGCATACCAGTCCACAGTTGTTTTCTACCAGTGAGATTTTCACCCGCTCTGACCTTCAATTGAAGGACAACTTCTGTGGATCTGAGAGGCCCAAAAGGTCCAGCCCCACCCAACCATGCTGGACCTGGCAGAGGAATCAGTTCTGGTAAAGCCATTCATCGAATCATAGAGTTGGAAGGGCCCTATACAACCATTGAGTCCAAACCCTGCTCAAGGCAGGAATTCGAATCAAAGCACACCTATTAGCATATTATCATCCATAAATGCACTAATCCAATTGCAAATCCCAGAGCTTGCAAAAGTTCCATTTTTTGAACAGCAATGCCCAGAAATCCTCAACCCCCATGGGCCAATGGCCATATTGGTTGGAGGATTCCTGTTGCTGAAATCCTGAAAAAGAAGAATGTTTCCAAGCTCTGGAAAACCTGGTATGCTTCTAGAACAATGGCCTATAGGGCTACTCCAATTCATTCAGTGCAGATATAAAAAAACAAAACAAAACAAAAAATGCATTTAGCATTCTGATTTAAAATATCAGATTTTTCCCCTCTAAAAATTAAATCAATTCTGAGGAAAGAAAGCAAGAAGCAAAAAGATATAAATAAAGGTGTAACTGGTGTGTCAGAAGCCAAGAACACTGGGTATTTGCAAGGGGGCATCTGAGGTCACTGCAACTACGGAGGCAGCAGAGATAGATGTTTCTATACAGCTGTGCTGGTTCTTCCTTGCCAGCCCTGTTTCCTGGACAACTGCGAGGGAGGGTTCGGCAGAGATGCCTCCAGCAGGCTGTTTAGCCCCAGCCCAGGGTCGCAGGAAAGCAATGTGTCCTTCTTGGTGGGGGAGATGGTACTCAGCCGACCCAAGGAGAAAAGGACTGCACAATGCAGACCAAAGTGGGGTCAGAATCACCACAGATGAGATCTCTGACATTTCCCTCGATTGGGTAACAGAAACAGAAACCATTCCTGCCCAATCAAAAGATGGTCTCTAGCTCAGTGTGGATTATTCAGATGCAGCACCATAAACATCATAGAACAGAGGAATGTTTCGATAGAAACAGGGCAAGGGGAGCGCACAATTGTGTTCCATCTCATCTATAAAACCCAGCAATGTAACATAAACTCAGCAGCATTTCATGCTATACGTCATCAACATCACTGGTACTTGCCAGAATTTTCTAGCTTCGCAGAACTCTTTCCGCATAGAGTTCACTTCAATCACAATGGGAAACCACAGCACTCGTTCAGTAAACAAGCTGGCACAAATTTTGGGCTCAAAAATAATTCCGCTACCCCCACCCCACTCTGCATGGCCACAAAAAAAGAGAACGGTGAAAGTGCTCATTTTCATTTTTAAATGAACCGTAGCTGCCTTGGACAGCCCCAAACCAGGCAACAGCAGTCTGTTAGAACAAACCACAGTCAAGCATGGTTTCGGATTATTACCGTACTTGTTCTAGGAAACCAGAGAACAGGGAACCGCCACCGGCATGACTTACCTCATTAGTTGGATCTGATCGGGAGCTTTCCTCTCGCTGCTGATGACTTGGAGGTGCTGCAACCGATGCCCCAGCTGCTCACAAGTTGACAGTTTGCTCCAGATGAAAGACAGAGGCCAGAAGGTCAAAACCCTAGATATAAGAGAAAGAGGACTTGAGTAAGAACAAGCACACTCTCCCGAAATCTGCAGCCAAAACCACCAGGGCATTCACACTTTCATTATTATGAGAATCTTTCCCGGTTCAGTGCTCTGTTGTTATACAAGTCATTAGGTGTCCGCATTCTGGATGTTGCTGGTGGTTGGAATGAGATAAAAACAGTCAACATTCCCACAACGATTTGATTCACAACCATGTTGGGGCTTATTTGGCAATAATTCATTAAAAAAATAATTTACTAAAATGTTCAACAATTGAACATTCATTATTCCAATTGCTAAATAACAACTTACACTGATTTCTTTAAGCAATGAAGAGAAGTTAACTGTATTTTAATTTGTTACTTTTGGTACTATTCGATTTTGGTCATTTTTTTTACCAATACAGTAAATTTAAATTGTTTTATATACTAAACTGGGGGTGTCCAACCTTTCACCTTCACTGGGCCACACTAGAAGATGAAAATTTGGTTTGGGCCGCACATAAAATAAAATAACGATTCGATAATTGACAGTGTCAACTAATGGTTAACATTATAAAGTTCATACATTTGTCTCAATGTTTCAACATTAACAGATCAAGTTAAGATTTTAAAGTTAATTCGCTGGCCATACTTTTAACACTTCCAAGATCAGGGTGCATTGCTCCCCTCCCTAGGTAATATAAGAACAATGAGAAGTGAGATTGCCAAAACATTTACTATCACATCTTAGAAATACTTCATGGCAATATTTCGGCATCCTCCTTGAAAGGACCTCTTTGGGCTTGCAAGGCAAAAATCAAACATTTCACAGCTCCTCGGAGGAAAAACACTCTCTACAAAATAAAAGCACAGCTTTGGGGACTGAACTGTAGTACCGAAGTGAATATCTACTTACACTGTGCTAGCCTAGAACTTTTCTACCTAATTTACTACTTTTTCACAGCCTGGGAACTTTGATCCAGGAGCATTTAAACATGCCATCCCATCTTCTAATAATCTTTTAAGTTTTAGTAAAGTGGTATATATTTCAAAGGTCAACATTTGTCTCCTTTTAAGAATCTTCACATTGATGTAGTAACCTTACTTGCCAGTTAGACCATCTGTACTAGGACTACTACTTGTTTTCTTCAGCCACAATGTGTGGAAGTTCAACAGATTCTGCAATGCCAAACGAAAACATGCATGAATCTGTTTAGCTATGTCAAAATATGTACTTACTTAAGACATTCATCCATATTTGTACCTTCTGTATTTGCATCCTTCATTATCCTCCATCCAGTCATATGTATGTATAACTATACTGTACGCTTAATCTGACAAAGTCTAGGAAAGATCAGAGTTACGTTGTAATTGCCTTATCTTCTTTCAATATACCTTCTACAGGGTTATTACATAATGGCTTTGTTGCCTTTCTTTTCTAATTGTATGCTTTTGATGTACTTAGAAAGAAATTTTATTAGCAGTTTTTTAAATTGTTCACAGTGTGTGTTTTGCTTGAACTGTGCTGCATTCAAACATCTAACAAGGAAATGTTCCACTGTGTTAATTTAATTTCTGATAAACGGCTTTAGTATGTTTGCCTAAAAGCTCATCTCATTGTATCTGGTGGAAATTACTTGCTAGCATAGTGTGTTTAGGATTACAGGAATAAAACAAATACATTTCAAGTTACTATACACAAGATGGTGCCACAGAGCAGCCTATAGTGGAAAGAGGCACACTATAGCGGATGGCTAATATTCAGTATAACAATTTAAGATTCTCCTGTAAATCTACACCAGCCTTTAGCCACAGTCAGACTATGGGAAAACAGCAAAATATATCTACTTCCCTATAAGCTGAGACTTGTATTCAATGTACAGCCATGAAATTGATAAGCAGGAGTAGAATTTGTAATACCACTGAAAAACTGTATTGCTGCTAGGGGATATGGAAAGTTGCCTTATAAAGAACGTCAGACTATATGTCCATCTAGCATATGTTGTATTACATTTTCTGACTGGCCGAAGTGCTCTATGGTTTGTGGCAGAGAGAGACAGGTCTTTCTCATCACTAAGAATGGCTGGACTGCTCAGTGATTTAGGTCTCTGGCTGCGAAGTCAGAGGTTGGCAGTTCAATCCCTCACTGTGCTTCCTTGACAGGAGTGGAGGGATGGTTCTTAGGGTCCCTTCCAGTTGTATTACATTTTCTGACTGGCTGAAGTGCTCTGTGGTTTGTGGCAGAGAGAGACAGGCCTTTCTCATCACTAAGAACGGCTGGACTGCTCAGTGATCTAACCTCCAACTAATGATCTGACAGGAGTGGAGGGATGGTTCTTAGGGTCCCTTCCAGCTCTTTAGTTCTACTACTTCTACTACTACCACCACCACCACTAAAACAACTTAATTAAGGGTTTGCAGAAGGTCATCAGGGATCCCAGTATTCAGAAAACAGCTCAGTGATCTAACCTCCAACTAATGATCTACGAAGCTGTTACAAATCGGTCACCATTGGGCCTGCTGGAAACATTTTCACCCCATCTGTGTTCATGGACATCCACCTGCACATACAAGACTGAAGCCCAAGACAAAATCCCCATTGCCTTAAAGGCATATAAACGCATTAAAGAAGCTAAAAGGTTTAACACATCATACAGAAAGCATGAAAAAGCCAACTGTAATCTTCTATGACAGTACGGCTCAGTTTGAAACCTGTTGATGTACAGTATTCTGTTTCCCATAGCCCAAGGCTACACTTGCTGAGGTTTGCTCATGAATGCTTTAGCAACTCGCATCCTAATGGAATTCATCAAGCTGTCCTATGCCAGCTCAGAAACAAAACTTCCAATCCACAGATTCGGGCAACACAACATGATCACGCTTGATGGGCCTGCCCAGTTCTAGTGCTGAGCATTATCGGCTAGAGCTTTTCAACTTCACACCCATTCAGAGTTACACTTGGAAGCCAGTATTTTGGCATTCTCCCAGGGCTTTCTGTTGAAAGCAGTAAAAGAACATAACGGGTCGTTGCTACATTGCCAGATATGGCACCTGAAACCTGTAATCTCTGAGCAGATTCTGTAGCCCTCATTTTAGAACTTGGTATAAACAAGAAACCTGCCCTGAACATCCGGCTATGGATTTTGGAAATTTTGATTTTTCTGCACTACTCACAGCTCAGACTCATGTGGAGGTAAAAACTGTCCTTTGTGTGTGAGGTTTGAGTAGTCTAATAAAGGTATTGCCCTTCATATCTTCTGACTGTTATTCATCCTAGTGGATCACAGTTTAGGATTGGTATTTAAATTAGGATTCAATGCATGGTCTTAAACTGGGTTTGTGAGAATCCCAGGGATTACCTGAATTAGCCGCAGAGTAACAGCAAACAAGCTTCCCAGGTGCCATCTGGAAATCAGATTGTTCATAACCAAAATACATACATAGACTCAAGGGAGTCACTATTTTAGGTGCTATTCAACAGCTCACACCAGATTCAAATGTAGACCTTACATCAGCAGTAGGGGAGGTTTGCCTCCACCAATTGTTTTGGCCTACAGTTCCCAAACCTCCTTACCACAGTCCATGCCACACCAGATTCAAATGTACACCTTACATCAGCAGTAGGGGAGGTGTGCCCCAATTGTTTGGGCCTATAGTTCCCAAACCTCCTTACCACAGTCCATGCTCCATGGAACTTGGGAACTGCAGGCAAAGAATAGTGTGAAATAAAGTTTCATTGCTCTTCTTTTAAAATGTGTGAAAGAATCCTTTGCAACACACAGGTATTTCTTGATAGATGCCAACATGGAATAAGCTAGACTAAAAAATTAACTGTTCTTGGCTTTAAATATTGTCTTTTAATGATGCAACCCCCCATTGTACAGTGGTGCCTTGCAAGACGATGTTAATTCGTTCCACGAAAAACACTGTCTTGCGAAAACATCGTCTTGCGAAACGTGGTTCCCCATTGGAATGCATTAAATAGATTTCAATGCATTCCAATGGAAAAATCGTCTTGCGAAAATCGTCCATAGGAAACATCATCTTGTGAAACGTGGTTCCCCATTGGAATGCATTAAATAGATTTCAATGCATTCCAATGGAAAAATCGTCTTGCGAAAATCGTCGATAGGAAACAATTGTCTTGCGAAGCGCAACAGCGATCGTAAAAACTAATCATCTTGCGGATTATTCGTTCTGCGAGTTAATCGTCTTGCGAGGCACCACTGTATACTCACTGTATTCAGATTTAAATACAGTGGGGTCTTGACTTGAGAACTTAATCAGTATTGGAAGGCGGTTCTCAAGTCA